GTCCTAAAGTTCATCCGACGGACTCCAGGTACCGCAAAGGCAAACTCGTCGTGGAGGTTAGCTAATAGTCGTTGTCTGGCAAGTTGAGTGGGTAGCTGAACCAGTATAGTTTTGTAATTCAGCTGGTGTTAAAACCTAACTTGTACACGGGAGGCTAGACAAGTTCAAACCTGATTGAGGCTATAGATCTTCTTCGCGATTGGAAGACATGAAAACTTATCAAAATCTTCGGCAAAATGAAATTCCCGCCATCCTAGAAGTCATGTTCAGTCAGGAAGCATACTAATATATACGGTTTATGCTCGCTAGAGTCTAATGCTTTGCAGTATAGAGGTCCACGGGATCCTATTGTGCTTTGAAAGCCTTTGGAAATGTAGAACGGCAAGAGCACAAATCCTCTCCTATCCACAGGCATTTACTCAACTCGATTAACTTCAGTTCTTCAGATTGTTTCAGTCCAGAAATTCAGTGCTTGATTTAGACTCCCGCAGCGCGGTGAGCTATATCAATGGTTGTAATGTGCCTTAGGATTTTACCTGAATAACGTAAAAGAGGAAGTGAAATGATTCCTTTGGGTAGAATGCGTTGAATCAAAAAGATTGTTTCTTACGTATAACCCCAACTTCAATGAGTCTCACTCAAGTTACCCTGTAAAAGAGTATTTTCTCAGCGAGTTTGTACCCTGTCACATTTAGTCGGACATCCTTTTGTGGCAGTCAATGATATCTGCAACTAAAACAGCACATTCTGTATGGCAATTAATTTGAAACCAATGGCTAATCTCCATTTAACTACTGATTCACAAAGTATTTAAATAAACAACATGGGTGAATGTGTGTAAATCAACTATTCTAAAACTGTGCAGTTCTTATAAATGAAGAGTTATTTAAGGGATAAAGAGCACGCTTGTGTATGGCCGAACCTGTGAACTTGTACCAGTACCACCATGTTTATTTAAGTGTGTCCACAGAATTATTTGAAGGACGTTGTTATACTTGGTAAACAGTTTCACTTAACGAATGCGTATGCCTACAGAGAAAGGTCCTCGTTAAACAAAAACAAAAACTGTGCAAAAAAACGGTTCAAAAATTACCGTTTCATCCTTCAACATACGCTTCACACAGGTCATCCTAAACCGATGCCGTTTTATATTCCATTTACAGCGACGGATCTTATGCTGAAAACGTATATAGATAATTACAGTCCATATCAATATTTGATTTGGTCACAGAAAGTCTAGTTTATCTATGTGTATTCCGTAACATTAAATAGAGTAAGTTATGGAGATTAAAAGGAATAAAACAAGAACCGTGAACCATAAAAGTAAATCATAAGGAACAGTTGCTCCGTTGGATGCATTGCAGGGCTTGTCAAAACGATCAATACTATTGACAAACACCCTGAATAGATCACTTGATTTGGCATAAAGCGACCAATCAGAGTTTTCAGGTGAACAGTGATGCCTTCGTCCGAGAAGCTCAGTGACTGGTGTGCGACAGAAACCCTCTGAATGAGTCATACGAATTGGTGGATGCAACCACTGACTGCTCCGTCGTTCGTGAGCGCAGTGACATTGTAAACAGTCGACGGCGGCTTCTCTATGCGGTTCAAGTCAATCCAATTCCGAAAGCGGTACAGAATGTTAATTTCCTATCCGTACCTGACGTAGCAACAAAAAGACCTCGTATTTGGCTGAAGTAAACATCATCCGCACTCACTTCCTTACGCCGCTGGTTTATTCAAGGAAGAATACAAGCCCGGAGGAGTTCAAAATAACAAGGTAGGAGTGTGACAACTTTATCGCAATTGTTTTCACATATTTTTAGGTAGGAACCTATCACCAGCTGCAAACATTTTCTGCAAACATGTTTTACACATATAGCTTTAACAAACCATTTAATTTCAGTCAAATGCAATAACGGAGTCAGAATCCATCGTTATAGAGAATTGCGTGTTTGAATACGATATCCAAACCCCAAATTAATTCAAAAAAGTTCAGTTCAGTTCAGTCGTTACAACCATTAACCATGCACTTTCGTCCGCCGGCTTTAGTTGCTGTCTTTTGGTTGCCCATTTGGATAAAAGAGCGAAATGAAGATATGAATGTCGAAGCAAATTCAAGCGAAATCTGGGGAATTCATATAGAGTGGTGTTAGAGGAATAATGAGTGGATGCACGGGCGCCACTGTTTGCGACACCCAGCCATATCACTCAGTGTAGCTAACCATCGGTGACCATCATCCTGAGGTCCTCAGCCAGGGAGCCTAACGGGGCCTATGTGACCTAGTCTCCTGGCTAGGGTTTTCATACCCTCATGCTAGGTCTTAGCTTGACCGCCATTCGTTTTTTTCCAATCGCTACCAGCCTTGGCAAACATCGTTCGCCGTGGCAACCTATCTGATGACATGCGTAACACATGTATCAACCAGCGTAATCTATGGAGGTCGATCACTTGCTCTAGTGGACGACCGCGACTGCCTAAAACTCTACGCCTAACCTCAGCATTGCTAGTCCGGTTACCCCACCAGACACGTGCAACGCGACGTAGACAGCGGTGTTCGAACACCGTCAATCTATTTTTATCCTGTGCCCTTAGTGTC